GATATGAGGACACTAGGACACTGAAGATCAGTTAAGAGGACAGAAACATGAGACCTCATGTGTATTACTTGTGGTACATTGCATGGGAAGAGCGCTGCTTTTATAATACATTGGGCTTCATTCACAAGTTAGTTTTCTCTTATTCCAGTATTATTTTCATAATACCACACCTTATTTACCTCATGACTCTCAGACCCCTATTCACAAACACTCATAACATGCTTTACTTAGCTAGCTCTGTAAGTAGAGGTACAGTATTTAACTACTATTAGAAATGTTTTACCACTTCAGTGTAATTTTATCGGCCTTATGAAAAATTCAGTCTAAAAATAAATTCCCAACGGTAACCACACACATTTTCATCCCTTAGAATGCACCAGCTTCAGGGTGGTGATTATTGGGAATTTCAGTAACTGTGTATGGAGGAGAGAAGGAAAAAGAGACATATGAGATGATGATATAATACTTCACAACATAACCTAAATATTCATAAAAAATATGACTTTTAACAAAAGATTACGCATCTTGGTTACATTTATGTTCTTGAAATGAAAATATTTTGAGGAAAATTATTATCAGATAAAACAAATAGTTGTTTTAGAATAAATTATTCATCTTAAGCTGGCAATACACAGTTAGATATTTTTTTTTAGTTCAGCTAGTGGGCTGAACAAAAAAAAAAACAGATTTCACGAGCCACACAAACGAGGTAGATGGAGGATTCCTCTTAGCCAGATATTGTATTCTGCAAGTGGGACCAGCCGCTGTCAGAGTATACTGATCAGCATTTGCAGCTGATTGCCTGTAGCCGCTGATTGACAAACATTACCATGTCCCTTCGACAGAAGGCAATCAATTGATCAACTTTTGTCGAGCAGGGACAGCCACACACTGATCGAAAATCAGCTGGTCCCTGAACCGAGTAACTTTCAATCCGTCTATGGCCAGCTTAAGTGAATCAAGCCTGTTGCCTGTTTACAAGCTTTGCTAGTTTTTGGCTGCTGGTGACTTCAAGGAAGACAAAGTGTGGTGCTATTTCCAGCCCCAAGTCCAATCTTTAACAAACTCGTGCAGACTCCACCTCCGCAACATCGCCAAAATACGCACGTTCCTAACCCCAGAAACCACTAAACAGCTCATCCACTCCCTCATCATATCACGACTCGACTACTGCAACTCCCTCCTCACTGGCCTGCCTCGCCGCTGGCTATCCCTGCTTCAGTCGATCCTGAATACGGCTGCCAGACTCATTCACCTTTCCAACCGCTCCGTTTCCGCCGCCCCCCTCTGCCAATCCCTCCACTGGCTTCCGATTGCGCAACGGATCAAATTCAAAATCCTAACACTGACGTACAAAGCTGTCCACCATACTGCCCCGAACTACATCACTGACCTAATATCCAAGTACCGCCCAGCACGCACACTCCGCTCCTCACAAGACCTCCTTCTCCCTAGTTCCCTGGTCTCCTCCTCCCATGCCCGCCTCCAGGACATCTTCAGGGTGTCACCCATCCTCTGGAAACTCCCTGCCCCAACCCATCAGATTATCACCTTCTCTCCTCCTCTCCTTTAGGCGCACCCTGAAAACCTACCTCTTCAGGGAAGCCTACCCCACCCCGTGCTAACTTGCCGACCTCCTCCACTCTTCCTACCACTCCATCCCCCACAGCTATCTCCTCCTGTGCCCCCATCCCTTCCCTCCTAGATTGTAAGCTCGAAAGAGCAGGGCCCTCGATCCCCTCATGTTTTGCATTGTATTGGTATTGTTCTGTCACATGTTCTGTCCCCCTTTGTAATGTACAGCGCTGAGCGAACTATTGGCGCTTTATAAATACTGTATAATAATAATAATAATAATATTTCTGTTGTTGGTGGCTGAAAATTTTCCATCAATCTCCTTCAACAAAAGTCAAGCTATACCAAGCACTATTAATGCACTGACTATGTTTACAGCTCTCCTGCTGCCTGTCCTTGGTTTAGATATACAATGTGTACTTTATTGATCAATTACACTATTGTCACAACAGGTCACTGGGGGGTCCCATCAAAATTTTGCTATGGGACCTCATGAATTGTAGTAACTTCGCTGGTCCTGAGGTTGAATTTCATCGCCAAATAAGAGCTTGCAGTTACAGCACAACAAAGAGAAGAAGCTTCAAAATACAACTTTCACTTTGGTTGTGAAAGAAACTCGAGGATTAATGCTAACATGTTTTAACAAAATACAAACACAAACTTTTTCTCCCTCCACCTAAGGTACCCCACCATTGAAAAAGGAAAGTGCACCTATTATTATTATTATTATTATTATACAGTATTTATAAAGCGCCAATAGTTCGCTCAGCGCTGTACATTACAAAGGGGGACAGAACATGTGACAGAACAATACCAATACAATGCAAAACATGAGGGGATTGAGGGCCCTGCTCTTTCAAGCTTACAATCTAGGAGGGAGGGGATGGTGGCACAGGAGGAGATAGCTGTGGGGGATGGAGTGGTAGGAAGAGTGGAGGAGGTCGGCAAGTTAGCAGGGGGCGGGGTAGGCTTCCCTGAAGAGATGGGTTTTCAGGGTGCGCCTAAAGGAGAGGAGAGTAGGTGATAATCTGATGGGTTGGGGCAGGGAGTTCCAGAGGATGGGTGACACCCTGGAGAAGTCCTGGAGGCGGGCATGGGAGGAGGAGACCAGGGAACTAGAGAGAAGGAGGTCTTGTGAGGAGCGGAGTGTGCGTGCTGGGTGGTACTTGGATATTAGGTCGGTGATGTAGTTCGGGGCAGTATGGTGGACAGCTTTGTACGTCAGCGTTAGGATTTTGAATTTGATCCGTTGCGCAATCGGAAGCCAGTGGAGGGATTGGCAGAGGGGGGGGTGGCGGAAACGGAGCGGTTGGAAATGTGAATGAGTCTGGCAGCCGTATTCAGGATGGACTGAAGCGGGGATAGCCAGCGGCGAGGCAGGCCAGTGAGGAGGGAGTTGCAGTAGTCGAGTCGCGATATGATGAGGGAGTGGATGAGCTGTTTAGTGGTTTCTGGAGTTAGGAACGTGCGGATTTTGGCGATGTTGCGGAGGTGGAGTCTGCATGAGTTTGTTAAAGAGTGGACTTGGGGCTGGAAGGATAGGTTGGAGTCCAAAATGACCTATAGGTTTCATTTTAATTTCTTACCTTTTAGTACTGCACATTGCATTCTTTACTAGCCACTTGCCAACCAGTTACGTACCAGGTACGTCATAACTCTTCACCGGTAGTTAAGCTATTATTTGTATACAGGATTTATATAGCGCCAGCAGTTTATGCAGCACTTTACAACAGGACAGACAGTACAATTACAATACAAATTAATAAACTAGCCGCTCAATTGCTATTACAAGCAGTGGGAAGGGGTGCTCCCTCCCTCTGCCTTCGACCACTTTCACTGGATCTCTTGTCCCACCGAGATTCCCGATCAACGAGCCGACATTGCCGCTGGCTAGTCAAAGAGCCGGACAAAGACCAGATCGGCTTTGTTCAGCGCTGTTAAATAGTAAACCGGAAGCGATGACCTGACATCACTTCCGTTTTACTCGAAAACAATCAACGCCATTTTAAAAACATAAAAGCATTCAATTACATATTGATGTTTTGAATGCTTTAAAGGGCAGAATAGGGATCTGGGGTCTTATTGACCCCAGATCCCTCCAAAAAGAATACCTTCACAGGCCTGTTGATGTCACAAGAGATGTTTACATTCTTTGTGATAGCAATTAATGTGATAAAAAAATATTTTTAAAGTGACATTGTAAAAAAAAAAATGCCCCTGTCCCACACGCATGCAAACAGCGATCGTCCCACACATGTGAGGTATCACCACGATTGTCAGATCATGGGAAGTAATTCAAGCACCAAATCTTCTCTTTAAATCTAAAGTGGTAAACTGTAAAGGTTTTTAAAGTGTCACCTATAGATAGTAAAATTTACACAAGTTTACAAAAAATTGGGTTATGTTTTGTGTTTTTTGAATTAAAAATCAAAAAAGTGTATTGTTTCCCAAAAAATTCTTTATGTAAAACCGCTGCACAAATACCGCGTGTCAGGGCTCCCAAACCAGAGGTGTGTGACTGAAGCAGGGAAACGCAGACCTCAGATATGTTATAAACAATATAATTTATTAACACTAACAGTACAAACATAAACGCAGTGCAATACTAAAACATAATACGGTGCAAAAAAATTTGCAAACCACCCACAGATTATATACTCGTCAGAAATGTAATGTAATTGTAAAAATGTTTTCAGGAAATTCTAAGTCAGGCATTTCACAAGCCAGGGAAAACAAAAAAACAAGGGTGACAGAGGGATGGTTCACAAGCCAGGATCAGAGCAGAAAAAAACAGGGCCCAAAAACACAACACCAAGGCAGAGTCTGCAAGTCTGGCCATCCCTTAAATACACCAGTATCATCTGTTCCAGGTGTTAGCTGGCTGAAAGGTAGTCTCTGATTGCTGGGAGCACCCGCTGGCCAGCCCTGGTACTGCAGATCAAAAGGCAGGTGAGTCCCACCATTGCTGGCCAGTCCATTCCTAACACCGCGTGACATAAAAATTTGCAAAACCCACCAATTTATTCTCTAGAGCCTCCGCTTTATGTAATGTAAATGTATAATGTTTAGGAGTTCTAAGTCATTTTCTAATAAAAAAAAAAAGTGATTGTTACATGTGAAGAAAAAGTACCAAAAAAAAAAACTGGTCCTTAAGTGGAATAGGACAATGTTTATGCTGCGTATGGCTGATTTGTGTTTTGATGACAGATGACAGAAATGAAGAATGTTTTGTGACTGCAGCAGACGAGACACACAGTTGTTTTCATTCAAACAGCAGCCTTGGAGCCCTGGGGCATGTGTGTGTTTTCACTCCTGTGATTGGGGAGGGATTCACTGGTGAAAAATAACGATGTTTAGTTTTTCTGTATTACTATGCACTGGAGTTACTAAATTATTTCTTCCTATCTTTTCATGTTTTATCCCAGATGACGTCCGGAAACTGATGCGGAAGCTGGATATCATACCTTCTTTAATTGCTCGTCTTGTTCCAGAAGGTAACTCTCTGAATCTGCAGAATATTCTGTTGACAAACCCAACCATCTGCTCCAAGGGCTCCAATGTAACCAATATCTGCTTATACGGATTACATTAACTGGTGTTGCAGTTCCATAAAACTATTAAATGATTTATAGAATATAACACTTGAAAAGAGCTTTAACCAAGAGATCCGACTTACTGAATGTGTACATTAAATCAGGCTTGCTGTGTTTTCTAGTACATCTGCACTGGTATACTGTTATTTAGAATATTCATGTTAAAGTACTCCGACGTATATCATAACCACTTTAGAATTTTAGAAAAAAAGACTACAACTATTCTGTGAAGACGTACTGATGTTTGTGGTCTGTCCATGCTTTTAACTGCTGTTCATGCAGAGATTTTAATCTTGGTGTGTGGCCAAGCCTTCTTTGCAGAATTATAATTGAGCAGGTCTGAACCAGGGAAAAAAAATGTACTTTTTTTGTGCTTTAAAATATTCCCCAGTTTTGCTGTGTCTAACCTGCATTGAGGATTTGTGTTAAATGTAAACCCTCACTTTGTAAATCAACCCATACAGTTTAAAATAGAAATAAAAGGCAAAACATTTGTTTATAGATATAAAAAGAAAATTATAAATAACTTTTCCCCTTTTAGAGAGGTGAGGGTGAGAAATAGCAGAACACTGGTCTTCCCAATGAACGGCTCTTCAGGGAGGGGGTGTGTCAGTACAAGTCTGAAGGAAAGCACACATTGGGGTTTATTTACTAAAACTGGAGAGTTCAAAATCAGGCTCGCTTCCGCATAGAAACCAATCAGCTTCCAGGTTTTATTGCCAAAGCTTAATCGAACAAGCTGAGGTTAGAAACTGATTGATTTCTGTGCAGAAGTGAGCCTGGTTTTGCAATCTTCAGCTTTAGTAAATAAACCCTTAAGTTCCCAACACAGCTAGAGAACATACCACATTCTGCTCTCATGCCTACTATAGTCAGTTTTTAAAAGGAAAAGAGAGGGGACTGGCAGGAACACATGGGATTTCACACAAAGGAAGAAATACAAAGGGAACAAGTACATGGTACAGCAGGTGCATAGCAGGAATATGAAAACTTGGGTTTACATATTCATTAAAGCACAATGGTTATCAGTGGATCAAAATGTATGTAACATCTAATGCAAGGGTTACATTCTGTGTTGCAGGCCTTCATCTTCTCAGTTTTTGCCATGGTAGCCCCCTCAAAATGTTACTTTAGAACAGTGGTCTTCAAACAGTGGCCCTTTGCTTTACTTTATTTATCCATCCCTTGGGGCACCGTTCCTCCTGCTGACACGAATGATGTGACACTATTCCTCCAACTGACACCAACTATGGGGCACTATTTCTCTCACTGCCACCAATGATGGGGCACTACTCCTCCCACTGACATCAAAGATAGAGCACTATTCCTCCCACCGACTCCAACAATGGGGCACTATTCCTTCCAATGACACCAGTGATGGGGCACTATTCCTTCCACTGCCACCAATGATGGAGCACTATTCCTCCTATTCCTCACACTGATACTAATAATGGGGCACTATTCCTCCCACGGACACCAACAATGGGGCACTATTCCTCCCATTGACACCAATGATGGGGCATTATTCCTTCCTCTGCAGCAGATGATGGGGCACTATACCTCCCACTGACACCAATAATGGGGCACTATTCTTCCCACTGACACCAATGATGGGGCATTATTCCTCCTACTGCAACAGATGATGGGTCACTATACCTCTCACTTACACCAATTATGGGGAATTATTCCTCCCACTGCAACAGCTGATGGGGCACTATACCTCCCACTGACACCAATAATGGGGCACTATTCCTCCCACTGACACCAATGATGGGGCATTATTCCTCTACTGCAACAGATGATGGGTCACTATTCCTCCCACTGATACCAATGATGGGGCACTATTCCTCCCACTGACACCAATGACGGGCATTATTCCTCCCACTGATACAGATGATTGGGCGTTATTCCTCTGACTGACACCAATAATGGGGCAATATTCCTCCCACTGGCACAAACAATTGGGCACTTTTCCTTCCACTGACATCCATGATAGGCACTGTTCCTCCCACTGATATAATTTTCTACTCCCTCTGACCACTGTCTGGTCCCCCTAAAGTCTAAAGAGCAGTAAACTGCCTTTTGTTTAGAAAGTTTAGAGACCCCTGGTTTAGAGTATGGGAGATTCTCATTCACCCACATCACCAAGCACAGAGCTCAGTGGGGCACATCTATCTTTCTGCAGATATGTGCTTTCATTAAGTGAAGGGTTCTTTCGGGACTGAAGGAACCATGAGAAGGGTAGGAACACTTAAAGCAAATATCTACTTTGGCCATTCAGGGCAGAGTTACATGTTTGTTTGATAGCTTACCCCTCCACTGCTCATGCTTAAAGTATAACTAAAGGCAAAACTTTTTTAATTCTAAGCAGAGTGGAGATTGGAATAGGAATACCTACAAAGGTTTTATTGCTGTCTGTGCCCCCATTAGGGAGATTCACCCTCTCTATTGTCTTGTATACCATTATCATAAAAACTGAAAGTAAAAGAAAATCCCAAACTTTGGGTTTTCCCCAGAAAAGAAATAGAAGGGATATCTTCCAATGGGAACACTAGTTCTGATGACCCGAGGGACTCCAAGGGATTCCCTTAAACTGCAGAGTTTTCATCTCACTTCCTGTTTGACTATGGGACAGAAAGTGAAGGGAAATCTCCCTATTGGGACACAGCTGGCAAAAAAATCCCTTCATTCTGTGCATTGGCTCTTCCTCCTCATTGGCTGGGACAGCAGCGGTAGCCATTGGCTCCCACTTCTGTCAATCACAGCCAGTGAGCCAATGAAGAGAGAGTGGGGGCAGGGCCGAGCCTTGCTCCATGTGTGAATAGATATTCTGAGCAGCGGCTAAGCTGCTTGCTATGAGGGTACTTGGCAGGAAGGAGGGGCCAGGAGTGTCGGTGGGGGACCCAAAAAGAGGTCGATCGGGGCTGCTTTTACTTTACATCAGAGGTCCTGTTATCCATTGTGAAAGTAATATGGAGGTTATCATTGGGGTGAAGGGGGTAATTGCCTCAATGTATAAGTATGCCCGGTAGGTTATGTTAGAAGTTCTCCCTTCTCTGCTGCTTACTGCTCTGTATCCTTTCTTATTGCTTCATCATTGTGGCTTCTAAATCTTTTCTTCTATAGCCATTGGGCAGATGCTGAAGTAAACTTGGGTTACATTATTCCAGTAGCCGGCTCCTACTTTTGGCATCTTACCAATGCTCAGTGTGTATTGCACATGCACTATAGACAGTGAACATAAAATAAAATTACTAGTAGAAAGGGAAAATGGTGTTTTTTTGCAAAAGAGACATAGTCTCTTCCACCAAAAAAACTCTTACCTAGTTGCATTTTTTACTTTAGTCGCACTTTAATCCTGTTATTGATCATAATACCTAAAATAAACATCAGTATGTTACTGTCACCCTAATATCTGACCCATCATATAACCCTTAAACCCTAACAGAACACTGTGAATGAATGACGCGGCCGTGTGGCATCAACAGCCGGCGCTGTTTTTAAAAAGTGACAGCTTGTACGGAAAACTTCTCCCTGTACTGCTGTCACAGGGAGGGGGATCTGGCAGTATTGGGAACATTTTACATTTTCCACCCTAAAAACTGGTGGAACATGTAACATGATGCCAAAGGTGAACTTATCCTTTAAATTAGTCCCTGAAGAAACATACCTTATATTATGGCTTGAATCATCGCCATAGCAGTCCAGTAAGCTGACACTGAAAACTGCTCAGATATCTGTGAACTCTGTTAGATGATGAACGTTCAGAATTCATAGACTGAATGTATTCTTCATGGTATGAGCATGTTTTAGAAATCAATATAAGTGCAAGCATTTATGCAATTCAATTAGCTATGTTTGTATTTATATCCATTCTTATTCCTATTACAGAGGAAGTAGTGGTTCATGAGTTTGCTACTCTTTGTCTAGCACACATGGCCACTGACTATTCCAACAAGGCGAAAATATTTGAGCTGAATGGCTTAGAACATCTCATCCGTTTATTAGGCAGCCCTGATCCTGATGTCAAGAAGAATTCTGTTGAATGTATTTATTTGTTGGCCCAGGTAAAGGAATATTCTTCATATTAGCAGTTTTGTTACTTTGACATTTTGTGATTAAATTTAGCCCCCTATCCCTTGTGTTGATTTTAACCCAGGACTTCCAGAGTCGCAGTGCTGTGTGTGAAAACAATGCCGTACCTCCGTTGTTGGAGCTCTTAAAGTCAGACTATCCAGTTATTCAGCAGTTGTCTCTGAAGGCTCTTTGCAGTATCAGCTGTGAAGCAGAGTGCAGGTTGGCTCTCAAGGAGAACCAAGCCATGGATCATCTCTTAAAAATCCTGGAAGCCAAGGTATGCAACTGCAGACTATAATTATGTTCTTTCCAGTGATAGATTAACAACGTACATGATGGCCATAAAGTGGCTTAGTGGATATACCTGTGTTCTTGGAACACTGAGGTCATGGGTCAAATTCCCAGTGACACTGTGTGGTGCATGTATATTCTTCCTCTGTGTAGGATTCCTTCAGCAACATACAAAAACATGCTGGTGGGTTAATTGTTTTCTGACCAAAACTGACCCTAGTGTGTGTTCTCTGTAAAACAAGCATGTTGTCTGTGTAGCACCCTTGTAGATAAGTGCTAGTTAGTTAGGTACATTTAGTTCTGTAGCTCTTATAATCAGTGGAGCAGCTTGTGATTGCTTTGGGCTGCTGAGTTTCACTGGTTGTGGGTTTGGCTGCTTTTCCCAGCCTTCTGGAGTGTTCTGGAATGTAGTGGGCTGAGAGAGTCAGATCCAGAGCTGAATATTTATGTGGACACAGCCATTCCCTGGGGAGGGTGGCAAGTAGGTGACACTAGGTGGAGGCCTAGAACCGTGGGGTTCTTGTCCATGAGGAGAAGGACCAAGCCTGAAGGGCCACTGCCCTTCTGGGCAGTTCAGCTGTGCTCCTTCATTTTCTCATTGAGGACCCAGCTATGTTAGAGCTGGAGGGCCTATTCTACTAACCTGGAACTGAATGAGGGATTTATCTGAGCATCTGGCCTGGAGAGTTCACGGTAGACATGTCTGGCTAATATTGGAAGAGGTATCCAAATATCCAGGGACATTTGTGAGTACAGACCGGTGTGCGAAATCCCAGTGACTGTGTGCTGCTACTATCCCTCTTGCATCGGTGTCAGCATGTGCTTAAAAGTGGACATTTCTTATGGTGTCCCTGAGTATCTCCATTATTGCTGCCTCAAGTGTCCTCAGATTGCTACTTTGTGTTGATGAAGTATCCCATAGTTACCATACACCCCATCCAAGTACAAGTTATAGTATTTATAAAATATAATTATAAAACATCAAAAAAAGGATACCTGTAGACTATTCATTGAGCCAGAAGAGTGATTGAGATGGTGTTCCTGACTGCTAACCCACTAGCATGGGGAAAGAACCATGGGACTACTCAATGGGCCCTTTAGGGGGTGAGCACTACATCTGCTATCATGCTAGCCTGATAAATGCAGATATCATGGCAGCACAATGGGAAATGTGCCCCGCGGGCCACTGCTGTCACTATTAGGTTGCCCAGTTCTCAGTACAATGTTATTCTTCTATTAGTGTGAGAGTTAGTGTTAAGGCTTGTTCACACCAGCTTTGGTCGCTGAAGAGCAATCCATGTTTGGATTGTTCTTCAGAGAGCAATTGACAGGCACTGAGCAGGCACTGTATCTCCTCTTCACTGCCTACTTTAACCCCTTGATCTCCGCACTAGTGTACATGCAATGCACTCAAATGCAGGCAGCTTACAGAGTGGAGAAGTGAGAGGGAGTATAATTCCTGCCGTGGCTGTGAAACAAAGCATTATGGCCATCACTTTGGTACACTTCCAGCTGCTCCCCTCCAGCTAAAGGGTATAGCAGTGTGTGTGTTTTGGGTGTGTGTTAAGGGGGGAGGCAATAACCATGGTGTTTTACCATTCCCCAACCACTAATGTGAATGAGCCCTTAGAGATACAGGGAAAGGTAGTGTAAGAGTTACATGAAGGATTAGCGTGAGAGTTACATGGAGGGATAGTGTGTGGGTTAGTGTCAACATTACAGGTAAAGCTGGTGTTAGGGTTAGGCTTACAGTAGTGTTAGTGTCAGGGCTTTTTTTCAGCAGGAACACAGTTACTGAACCTCTATCACTGAATGTATGTAATGGCAAGGGGTGCTGCAGGGTCTGCTGATTCTGGCTGCTGGGGGATTTATTATTCCTGGGGAGATTTATTGTTTCTAAGGAGGTCTGTTGTTTTTGGGGACGTCCATTGTTGCTGGTGGGGTATTAATTGTTGCTGGAGGGTCTCATGTTGCTGGGGGGATCTAATGTTGAGGGAGGGGTCTATTGTTGCTGGCAGCTGGAGGGTCTATTGATTTATTGTTGCTGGGGGGGATATACTATTTCTGGGAGGTCTGTTGTTGCTCAGGAGGTCTATTGTTGCTGGTGGGGGGACAGTTGTTTCTGGGATGATCTACTCTTGAGGGAGGGGTCTATTCTTGCTGGCAGCTGGAGGGTTCATTGATGCTGGCTGCTGGGCGATCTATTGTTTCTGGGGGGTCTGTTGTTGCTAGCTGCAGGGGTATATATATATTTTTTGGTAACATTAACAAATTCCATTGAAATTACATAGCAACACAAAATGACATTTGGTTCTGTATTGTCTTAAAAGGGTGGTACTGGGAGGTGGGACAAATGGATGGCTCAGAAGAAGGGGAGTACCTGCACCTATTATCTGAGGAACAAAAGCCCTGGTAAGTGTTAAAGGATAGCATCAGGGGTACTGAAAGGGATAGGTGAGGAACCCCTTAGGATAGGCTATTGCAGTGAGTGCTAATGCTTAAAGATAATGTATAATGGATTTCAGCTTCAGAAATATAAGAAATTGTTTCCTCCAAAGAAAATAAATGTATTTTATCTTTATAAATTTGGCATATACAGCGCCAAAGAAAACTACGCCATTTCTTTACAACAAACTTTCTGTGAATAGACATCCCATACACTGAAACCAAACTATATGCTATGAATGTGTATTGATGCGCCTGCAACTTTTTCCACACTGTTTGTTCTTTATTGTATATCTCCAAGTCTTTTGTCTGCATACGTGCTCATTATGTCTTCTTAGGAGCTTAATGACTTACACGTGGAGGCCCTTCTGATAATTGCTAACTGCCTTGAGGATGCAGACACTGTGCAGCTTCTCCAGCAGTCAGGAGGACTGAAGAAGATTCTGACCTTTGCAGAGACATCCCCGCTGGCTGACATACAGAGGAATGCCGCCAAGGCCATCGCCAAGTCAGCTCACAATGGTGTGTGACATTCAGTGCGAAATTACATTTAGAATAATTATGAATAACACATATGAAGAGTCACAGCCCAGAATGATTTCTCTGATGCTTGCTCTGGTTAATGTCAATCGTTTGACAGTTTGTCTTTTCTATACATCATACAATAGGATAAGTTCATTTTAGTTGGTTGGCTTATAGATTAAAGGCCAGAGTCATTTCAGTGCATTAATATATATCAAATGCAGCATGTCATGGAGCTAAGAATTAAAGCAGACCTACAGTGTATACTGTGTGTGTGTATATAGTGTCCATGTATATATATATATATTTATATACATACAGTTGTTTGTTCAAAATAATAGCAAAGGTTATACTTTTTCCTCAGATGTGTTGAAAAAAGTGAATAAAGCTCAAAATCCTTCTAGTAGCTTTTGTTTCCATGCACACAAATGCATTGAGAACACTATACATTCTATTCCAAATCAAAACCTGAAGAAAAATATATCAAATTTGTGTTATTCCTCTAACATGCTAACATGTTAGAGCTACAAAAGGAAAACATAAAACAAAAATGGAATACAAAAAATGAAGAAAAGTGAATATTAGACTGTTCAAAAAAATAGCAGTGTCTGTATTCTTCTTTACAAACTCAAACATTCACTATATAAACTGAAAAATGTTTGAAAATGTTGCTTTCCTTTGAATCAATTAATATTTAGTTGTATAAGCACTGTTTCTGAGAACTGCTGTACATCTGTGTTGCATGGAGTCAACCAACTTCTGGCACCTGTGAACAGGTATTCCATCCCAGGATGATTGGACGACATTCCACAGTTCTTCTCTATTTCTTGGTTTTGCCTCAGAAACTGCATTTTTGATGTCACCCCACAAGTTTTCTATTGGATTAAGATCCGGGGATTGGGCTGGCCACTCCATAACGTCAGTCTTGTTGGTCTGGAACCAAGATGTTGCGCGTTTACTGGTGTGTTTGGGGTCGTTGTCTTGTTGGAACACCCATTTCAAGGGCATTTCCTCTTCAGCATAAGGCAGCATGACCTCTTCAAGTATTCTGATGTATTCAAACTGATCCATGATCCCTGGTATGCGATAAATAGGCCCAACACTGTAGTATGAGAAACATCCCCATATCATGATGCTTGCTCAACCATGCTTCACTGTCTTCACAGTGTACTGTGGCTTGAATTTAGTGTTTGGGGGTCGTCTGACAAACTGTCTCCGGCCACTAGACCCAAAAAGAACAATCTTACTTTCATCAGTCCACAAAATGTTACGCCATTTCTCTTTAGGCCAGTCAATGTGTTGTTTGGCAAATTGTAACCTCTTCAGCACAGTGTAACCTCTTTTTCAACAGTGGGACTTTGCGGGGGCTTCTTGCAGATAGCTTGGCTTCACATAGGCGTCTTCTAATTGTAACAGTACTCACAGGTAACTTTAGACCTTCTTTGATCTTCCTGGAGCTGATTGTTGGCTGAGTCCTTGCCATTTTGGCTATTCTTCTATCCATTCGAATGGTAGTTGTTCGCTTTATTCCACGTCTTTCAGGTTTTGGTTGCCATTTTAAAGCATTTGCGATCATTTTGGCTGAGCAGCCTATAATTTTCTGCACTTCTTTATATGTTTTCCCCTCTCCAATCAACTTTTTAATCAAGGTACGCTGTTCTTCTGAACAATGTCTGGAACGACCCATTTTCCTCAGAATTTCAGAGAGAAATGCACTGTAACCGGCAAGTACAACATTTGTTGCCTTCCTTCCTTAAATAAGGGCAATAATTGCCACCTGTTTTTCAAAGAATGAATGACCTCACTAATAGAACTCCACACTGCTATTATTTTGAACATGCCCCTTTCAATTAGTGATTCAATTACACAGAATCAGCAGCATGCATGTCATGACTGTTGGGTCTGTTGGATTTCTATTACTCCACTACACCTGCTAGTAAATTATTTGCCATGTAGAAATATAATTTCTACCAAAAACAGTGATTGATCAGGTTAGTGATGTCTGACTGCTATTATTTTGAACACAACTGTATATATATACATACTGCTCAAACAAATTAAAGGAACAATTTGAAAGGACATCAGATCTCAATGTGCAAAAATATCATGCTGGATATCTATACTGATATGGACTGGGTAATGTGTTAGGAACTTAAGGATGCCCCATCGTTTGATGGAAATTAAAATTATCAACCTACAGAGGACTGAATTCAAAGACATCCTGAAAATCAAAGTGAAAAAATGATGCAGCAGGCTAGTCCACTTTGCTGAAATGTTATTGCAGCAATTCAAAATGGTACTCAGTAGTTTGTATGGACCACAAGTGCTTGTATGCATGCCTGACAATGTCAGGGCACGCTTCTAATGAGATGACGGATGGTGTCCTAGGGTATTTTCTCCCAGATCTGGACCAGGGCATCACTGAGCTCCTGGAGAGTCTAAGGTGCAACCTGGTGGTGTCGGATGGCCCAAAATATGATATCCCAGAGGTGTTCTATTGGATTTAGGTCAGGCGAGCATGGGGGCCATTCAGTGGTATTAATTCCTTCATCCTCCAGGAACTGCCTGCATACTCTCGCCACATGAGGCCAGGCATTGTCGTACACCAGGAGGGACCCAGGACCCACTGCACCAGCGTTGGGTCTGACAATGGGTCCAAGGATTTCATCCCGATACCTAATGGTAGTCAGGGTACCATTGTCTAGCCTGTAGAGGTCTTTGTGTACCTCCATGGATATACCTCCCCAGACCATCACTGACCGAACGATGTTACAGGCAGCATAATGTTCTCCATGACTTCTCCAAACCCTTTCACGTCTGTTACATGTGCACAGTGTGAACCTGCTCTCATCTTTGAAAAGCACAGAGTGCCAGTGGCAGACCTGCCAATTCTAGTGTTGAATGGCAAATACCAATCAAGCTCTATGGTGCTGAGCAGTGAACACAGGCCCCACTAGAGGACATCGGGCCCTCAGGCCACCCTCATGAAGTTTGTTTCTGATTGTTTGATCAGAGACATTAACACCAGTGGCCTACTGCTGGAGGTCATTTTGTAGGGCTCTGGCAGTTCTCATCCTGTTCCTCCTTGCAGAAGGGAGCAGATACCGGTCATGCTGATGGGTTAAGGACCTTCTACGGCCCTGTCCAGCTCTCCTAGAGTAACTGTCTGTCTCCTGGAATCTCCTCCATGCTCTTGAGACTGTGTTGGGAGACACAGCAAACCTTCTGGCAATGGCACATATTGATGTGCCATCCTGGAGGAGTTGGACTGCTTGTGCAACCTCTGTAGGGTCCAGGTATCTCATTATGCTACCAGTAGTGACACTGAGCCTAGCCAAATGCAAAACTAGTAAAAAGCAGTCAGGAAAGATGAGTAAGGAAAAAAATGTCAGTGGCCTCCACCTGTAAAGCCATTCCTGTTTTGGAGGTCGTCTCATTGTTGCCCATCTAGTGCACCTGTTGTTAATTTCATTAACACCAAAGCAGCTGAAACTGATTAACAACCCCCTCTGCTACTTACCTGACCAGATCAATATCCCAGGAGTTTAATTGACTTAATGCTATACTCTGATTAAAAAGTGTTCCTTTAATTTTGTTTGAGCAGTGTATAAATAAATCATCTTAATCATATCAGTCTGTGTTAAAGTTTTAAACGTCTCCCTGCTATGAATAGATTATAAATGTATATGTGCATGGGAGTATCCTTGACCCTTATATATGCAGGCTCTGCTTCCAGCTCATTAGTACTGAGGATTAGTGGCTATACCTGTCTTCCCTAACCGTAATTAAACATATGCATGGAGCAACCATTTTTAATTACTAGATATGCAGGCTCTTCTTCTTGCTTTGCAATGTTGCATGATGGTTGTGCCTAGCTGTTCCTCATTACACTACAAGACTATTGTCAAATAATAACAAAGTGCTCTCCCAACACCATATGACTGATATGTTGGTACAGAATAACTTAAAGTCCCAAAAAATTAATTTAAATATAGGGAGTGAATAACAGTCCTATATGAGGGTATCCTGGGGTACAAAAAAATTGCTTGGGAATCCATTCATTATTCGTTTGCCCAGGGTCATGTAACCATCTATTTGGGGGTCTATATCCTCTGTTCCTTGGAGAGCCATCCACATAAAGGAAACCAGGAGGTCTATCCTATGAGAGCCTGCAGTTGCGTGACAGTAGAGAGCCATTTGACCACCGTCAAGCCTGCCTGATGAAAGAACGCGCTAGGACTCATCTCGTCCTGCACATGCTGAGAAACGCGTTGCATTTTGATGACGTCAGATGCCACATGTGCTGATCCCGGACATCTTGGAGACTCTGCCAGGCTCCATCATCTATGCTGTATATGCACAGCACCATCTGCTGACAGACACCTTGGAGATTCCATCGGGCTTACCATCCATGTTGCACATGCACAGCACCACCTGCTGACGGACTCAATCGATCTCCTCTCTGGATCAGACACACAACATCTGGCTACAGACGTCTCACCCTCTTACCCATGAGCCTGTTTTTAAATTCTAAGATGTGAGTTACTACTTATCTTTCTATTAAATACCTGCACAGTACACACTTAGAGGCTCTATGTTTCTATTAAAATATGGCATATTAAAACCTCCATCTGATTTAGGACATCATATTTTACTCTCGGTTTTTTACCTGCCCAAATATATCTAAATATTATTTTTTTTAAGATCCCAAAGTATCATCATTTTCACAAAGTTTATTTTTCCTATCCAAGAGAGAGATCCTCTTGAACTTCCTCTCAATTCATTATTTATCTCGTTTATTAATGGGATGTAATTTACCTGATATATATTTTTAAGAGATGAGGTCAGCTTTATTCCTAAATATTTTAATTCTTTTTCCCTCCATGTGAAAGGCAATTCAATTTGTAATGCTATTCTCTCTAATTTTGAGACACTAATATTTAATATCTCTGTTTTTGAA